TTTCTGTGGAAACCATTCATGTTAATTCAAAAAAATATACAGTTGATAACAGAGCTGCAACTCTTAATTATGTTTTAGTTTAATCCTGGGGTATTTTAGGTTAGGTATTGAATGTTCTTTATTAGTCATTGGGATGAATCGTTTCGGGGATGAGAACTTCCTCACCCAGTCTGTCTTTCATGGAATACTGAAGAGCAAAGACTCTTCAGGCTGACATGACCTTAGTTCAGATATCCAAAAATTTATTAATTTATATTACAGAAAACACTTCGGAGGGGTACTTCAGGCACGCAGTATATACACTCACCGGCAAAATTAACGGAACACCTTAAAATTGGGACATGTTAGATGTCTCGAATTTCCTAAACCTGTTGTCCGATTTTAGTGATTTTTTTAGTATGTTATAGGTATATTATTTAAGAATATCGATGTAATAATATTGTTGCTAGACAGGTCAATGTCATTTTATACCGGGTGTAACAATCCTACTGTGTTTTTTCCTTAAAGTTCGGAACACCCTGTGGAATATTCTAGCATGTATAAAATATTGAAATTAAAACTTAATTATAGCCTCAGGCTTTCTTAACATTTTCTTTTTTGATTCATTTGCTTATGTTTGATAATAAAAAAGTGCAATAAATCCTCATTTTCTGCTTAGTTTAATAAACAAGCCTAAAGTAGGCTATGAGAAGTTAACAATTCAATACACACACCGGCAAATTTAAAGGAACCTGTTATTAATGCAATATTTCTTTATATTTGTATTTTATAGACTATATCTACATAGCTTTGAAAGCTCCTTGTCACAAGAAAGTCTTAAATGTCAAATTAATTTGTTTATTTGTATTGTGTTTTACATTTTACAGTCATTCTGTCTGTTCATAATAAGTACAAACTTGTATTTAATTGAGCGCGTAGTAAGAAAGAGACTTAAAAAAGCCGGTCTCAAGTCATATGTGCCAATAAAAGCTCCCAGACTCCAGAGACACCATCGTTTAGCACGACTACAATTTGGTCGAGTACATCAAAATTGGAATGATAACCACTGGAGTCAAATTCTCTTTACGGACGAGAGCCGTTTCTGTGTAAATTACATCGACGGTAGAGAAAGATTGTATCAACGCCAAGGGGAACGAAATGCCCCTTTCAATTTTACTACGACCGTACCTTTTGGTGGAGGTTCAATTATGGTGTGGGGCGGTATATGTTTGGGAGCAATAACAGAGTTAGTGGTGATTGATGATGGAGCATTAACAGCAGATAAGTATATCAGAGATATTCTCCAAGACCATGTGGTACCTTTTTCACCATATATTGGCGAAAATTTTATTTTAATGCAGGATAATGTCGCAGACTGTGTAAGATATTTCTTATTACAAGTGGGTATAACAACGATGAATTGGCCAGCTTGTTACCCAGACCTAAACCCGATAGAGGATATGTGGGACATGCTAGGCAGAAAACTTAGGGCACGGGTTCCTGCTATTCAAAACAGAGAGGAAGTCACAATTGCTTTGATTGAGGAATGGGAGAGACTGCCCAACAACTGATCGATAGCGGTATCAGAAGTATGAGAAGACGAATAACTGCAGTTGTAAGGGCTCGTAGGGGAAACACGCTATTAAAGCCAAAAAAATGCATAAAAAACCAATTTAAGTTCAAACTGTACAATAAAGTTAATGCGTTTAAAATCCGTATTTTGTTGAGTCTGACATCTTTGTATTTTATTTCTTCTTAAACAGGTTTTATATTGTACTACCATTGTAATATAAATTCAAAATACTTCACCAACATTCATATTATGATATTATCTAAACAGTATATAGACTAGAGAGAAAATACTCATTTTATGGTTGTTCCTTTAAATATGCTGGTGAAACTAAGAAGAAAATGAGCATTTATTGATGAAAAACATGGCTAGTTGTTAACATACCTAACTTTTTTATTATCCAACAAGAGCAAATGAATCAAAAAAGAAAATGTTAAAAAAAGCCTGAGACTATAATTGAGCTTTAATTTCAATATTTTATATATTCTAGAATATTCCACAGGGTGTTTCGAACTTTAAGGAAAAAATACAGTATGATTGTTACACCTGGTATAAAATGACATTGACCTGTCTAGCAACAATATTATTTCATTGATATTCTTAAATAATATACCTATAACATACTAAAAAAATCACTAAAATCGGACAACAGGTTTAGGAAATTCGAGACATCTAACATGTCCCATTTTTAAGGTGTTCCGTTAATTTTGCCGGTGAGTGTAGTTATTTATTTACATTGGTTCATTGGTAATAGGACACTATGATAATCTTTTTTGTAAAATTGACACTAAAACTTTGATAATTTAAAGAAAATTACTGTTGAAATATTTGACATCTTTGAATTTAACTGATGAATAAATTATTTGCTAAAGTTATGGATTTCCATTGATCAATTATTATGTATTTGATATACAAAATTTTAATGACAATTTATTCTCGTTATTTACCCTATTATTAATCAAATACTATCTCTATATGTTGCCGTTGCATACTTTAATTTTTATATTTTGATTTTTAGGCCACCAGTGCATTATTAAGATCCCTCGAAGGCCAAATCTCCCCGTCAGAAATGGCACGTTTGGAGGAGCCAGTTAAAAGCCTTGAAAATAAATACAACCAATTATGCAGTGCTATTGCTAATCGTTGTCAAGAATTGGACACAGCTCTTGTCCAATCTCAAGGAGTACAAGATGCTCTCGATGGAATTATCGATTGGTTAAACCAAGCCGAAAACCAATTCAAAAATATTCAAAAACCAGCGTCCCTCATCAAGGAACGTCTTGAAGAACAACTTAGAGAGCATCGTATTTTCCAATCCGATATTGACACTCATATTTCCTCGATTGACAACGTCTACATGTCTGCTAACGAACTGATAATGTCAACAAGCAACGCGCGAGTAGCTAAAAAAATTGAAGGCAAATTAAATGATGTTAAAGTTAGATTTGAAAAATTATTTGATAGAGCACAGCAGCGGGGAGTATTCCTTGAAGGAATCAACCAAGATTTAATCGTGTTTAACAATCAGGCAACTAAATTCGATGAATGGTACAACAGCGTCATAGAAATTATAGAATCTAAAGACATGAACAGACTACCAATGGAAGAATATTCCAAACAAATGAAGAAACTTGTAGCCAATAGAGAAGACAACAGAAGTATGTATGAAGATACCGTTAAAATTGGTAAAGATCTGCTCAATAAACGTGATGTAACCGATACCACGAATGTTAGAGACCGCGTCAAGGCTTTAGAAAATCAATGGAAGCAATTGGATAATCTTCTAGAAGAAAAAGCACGACTTTCCAAGTTACGTGCAGAACAACAAAGTAATTATGAAGCTTTACGACAGAAAGTGAATGATTGGTTGAGTAAAATGGAAACTAAAGTTTCTAGATTAGAGGCTGTTGCAGTTCATTTAGAAACTCTTAAGAAACAAAACGAAGAGCTCAAACCAATCTCCAAGGATTACAGAGATTTTGGAAGCACTATTGATAATATCAATGATGTTGGTAGCGCTTATGACAGTCTAGTAAGGGGTGATAGACCCGAATCACCATCAAGAAGAAAAGGCTATAGCCCTGGAAAACGTACTCCCATTGATGGACGTTCTCCGTCACCTTCTAAAGGTTTATCTCCACTATCTCCTAGTGGATCAAGTGGTTTTTCGTCGAGAAGATCAAGCCAAGATGGTTTCCATCTTGAAGAACTTTCTATTATACAACAACAATTGTCCGAAATCAATAACAGGTACTCATTGCTTGGAGTTAAAATCACTGATAGGCAAAACGAAATTGATACCGTCCGCGAAGAGGTTAAAAAACAACTAGAAAATCTCAAAACACTTACTACTTTCCTCGACAAAATTCAAAGACAATTGCCCAAAGATGTCGTTCCTAGCAGTAAAGACGAAGCAGATAAACTAAACAAACAGCTTAAACAAATTCTCGAAGAAATGTACGAAAAACAGTCCCTGTTGGACTCTACCAAAACCCAAATTAAAGATCTTCTGAGAAGGAAGCCTAGTGCTATTGGTGCGGATAATCTTAATGGAGAATTAGAGGATGTTGTTTCGCATTGGAAGAGTCTAAACGATCATTTGAAAAATAAAATAAAATTCATGGAAGACATGAAAGACTTCCTCGATACTCACGATTCCTTAGCTTCTTGGTTGTCGGCCAAAGAACGTATGTTAACTGTATTAGGTCCAATATCTAGTGATTCTAGAATGGTTCAATCCCAAGTTCAACAAGTGCAAGTACTAAGGGAGGAATTTAGAACCCAACAGCCACAACTACAACATCTTATTGAAGTTGGTGATAATGTACTTAATCACCTCGAACCAAAATCGTCAGAACACCAAAAGGTTAATAATAAATTAGCTGCAGTTCAACAAAAATGGGCTGATTTATTAAGCAAGCTTGAAGAAAGAGCCGACTCACTCGGAGCAGCAGCCGACACTAGTAGAGAATTCGATGCACAATTAACTCGTCTTAGAGATGCTTTACAAGGTATTTCTGATAATTTGGATGAAGTTCCACTTGAAAAAGACCCCGAAGATCAATTGCGTAAAGTAGAAAATCTTGAAAGACAGTTGGAAGGACAAAGACCACTTCTAACAGATCTTGAATCTAACGGTGCTCACTTATGTGATGTATTAAGTGATCCTGCGTCACGAGCTGATATTCAAGCCAAGTTGGCGTCTGTAGGTCGTCAGTATAACGCTTTACAGAAGAAACTGGACCACAAAAAAGCTGAAATTGAAGGATCTTTACGAGATGGAAGGCAATTTGAAGAACAATGTGCGAAGACACTAGGATGGCTCTCAGATGAATTAGGATCATTGTCAGAAAGATTCCTTATATCTGCTATTAGAGATGTATTAGAGCAACAGTTGAATCACCATGAGCCAATATATAGGGATGTATTAGCTAGAGAACACGAAGTTATAATGCTATTGAATAAAGGACGAGATATTCTGGCTAAAAACAGTAAGAGTGATAACAGAACTCTTCAAAGAGACCTTGATAAAATTAATCAAAACTGGGAGAAACTACGTAAAGAAACAGTGGATAGGCACACTAGACTTCAAACTTGCAAAGAGCATTGTCGCAAGTATTATAAAGCTTTGGAAACGTTCCTTCCATGGTTAAGACAAGCTGAAGATAAATTGGATACATTAAGACCTTCTTCATTCCAAAAGAAACACATTGAAAAACAATTAAAAGAACTGCAAGCATTCCGTAATGAAGTTTGGAAGAAATCTGGTGATTACGAAAATACCAGATCACTCGGTGATACATTCCTTGCAGCTTGTGATATTGACAAAGACGATGTTAAGAATGAATTGGGTGATCTGAAGGATAGATGGGATAGGCTGAATAATGACTTAATTGCTAAAACACAAGCTTTGGAAGATCAAGCCAGAAAGCTAGCAAACTTCGGTGAAAATGTTCGAGATTTACAACATGGCTTGGAACGATGTGAAGATAAATTAACTTCACATGATGCTTTGGGAGGTGCTGCTAAAGATCCTAAACTCCTAGACCGCATTAAGGCACTCCGAGAAGAAACCATCAAGCTGAAAAAACCATTACAAGGTGTTCGTCAACAAGCTAACGATTTGTGCAATGAAGCATCACAACATCATATTGATGCTGATCATCTTAAAGATGAAGTCGATGGCATAGGTGACCGAATAGATGATTTATGTAGTAAGTTAGATGACCGTTGCTCAGATTTGCAATCAGCTGCTACGGCCGTAACACAGTTTAACGATGAAGTGAAAGAAATATCTCAAGATTTATCTGCTTTAGAAACCGAACTAGACGATATGAAAGCTCCTGGTAGAGAAGTTAAGGTTGTTAGAGGACAAATAGATGATATAAACAAATTCCTCACGAAGGTTAATAAAGCAAGCGACAATCTTAAGCATGCCATTAATTCTGGTGAACGATTGGTGGATAGTGGATTTGCTCCTGATACTGTACTTACTAGACAACAGTTGGATACTTTAAAGAAACAATTAGGAAAACTAGATGACCGAGCTCATAGCAGAGAAAAAGATCTAGAAAACACACTTAAAAAACTGGAAGGTTTCTATATATCCCACGCAAGTGTTTTAGACGATATTCAAGACGCCTCAGGCGAATTGCGTAAACTTAAGCCAGTAGGTTCCGAAGTCGATAGCATTAGAGCTCAACAGAAAGATTTCAAGAAATTCAGAGCTAATACCATTGAACCTTTGGGTAAGAATATTGAAGAAGTTAATAGGTTAGGACAAGGCCTGATTCAATCTGCTTCACCTGGTGTCAATACTGCTATTCTCGAAAAAGATTTAGAAAGAATGAATGCTTTATGGAATGATCTAAAAGAAAAGATTAACGACAGGGAAAGGAAACTTGACATTGGTTTATTACAATCTGGTAAATTCCAAGAAGCTTTGGATGGTTTATCTAAATGGTTAACAGATACTGAAGAGATGGTAGCTAATCAAAAACCACCATCTGCCGACTATAAAGTCGTTAAAGCACAATTGCAAGAGCAGAAATTCCTTAAAAAGATGCTTCTTGACCGACAGAACTCCATGACATCATTGTTTAATATGGGTAATGAAATCGCCAAAGAAGCTGAACCATCCGAACGCAAAGCTATCGAAAAACAGCTTAAAGATCTTATTGCTCGCTTCGATGCGTTGACTGAAGGAGCCCAACAGCGTACCATGGATTTGGAACAAGCTATGAGAGTAGCTAAAGAATTCCAAGATAAACTTATACCTCTACAAGATTGGTTAGATCGTACCGAAAAGAAAGTCAAAGATATGGAACTGGTCCCTACTGACGAAGAAAAGATAGAGCAAAGAATTCGTGAACATGATGTTCTGCACAACGATATTCTTGGCAAGAAAGTTGATTTTAAAGAACTTACAGAAATTGCTTCCAATTTGATGTCTCTTGTTGGAGAAGATGAAGCTTCTGGATTAGCTGATAAATTACAAGAGGTCACCGATCGGTACGGAAACTTGGTGGAAGCCAGTGAACACATTGGACAACTTTTAACAGCCTCAAGACAAGGTCTTAGACATCTTGTCCTCACTTACCAAGATTTAGCTGTATGGATGGATCAAATGGAACAACGATTAGCTCGCTATAAAGTTCTTGCCGTTCACAACGACAAACTTTTAGAACAAATGGACGCTTTAACAGATCTTTCTGAAAATATTGCCAGTCGTCAAAATGATATTGATGGTACAGTTGATGCGGGAGTAGAATTAATGAGACACATTTCCTCTGATGAAGCCTTAGAACTTAAAGATAAATTGGACTCTTTGCAACGTAGATACAATGATTTAACAACCAAGGCAGCAGATCTTTTGAAACATGCCGAAACAATGCTACCACTGGTACAGAAGTTCCATACCAACCACAACCGTTTAGTTGACTGGATGCAAGGTGCTGAGAACATTTTACAATCGGCTGAACCACATGAAGGAGACATTGCACGTCTAGAAATAGACTTACAGGAACTAAGACCAGTCCTAGAAACTATTAATGTACTAGGCCCACAGTTATGCCAAGCTAGTCCTGGAGAAGGTGCTTCTACAATTGAGGGACTTGTTACTAGAGACAATAGAAGATTTGATGCCATCGCTGAACAAATTCAAAGAAGAGCAGAGAGAATCCAACTTGGAAAACAAAGGGCTTTGGAAGTTACCGGTGACATAGATGAGCTCCTAGAATGGTTTAGGGAAGTGGAAGGACAGCTAAGAGATGCCGAGAAACCATCTGGAGAACCCGATTTGATCAGAATTCAACTTAAAGAACATAAAGCGCTTAACGATGATATTTCTAGCCAGAAGAGTAGAGTACGAGATGTCTTGTCATCTGCTAAGAAAGTTCTACGTGAAAGTCCACCAAGCGAAGACACTAGCCTAATTAGAGAAAAGATGGAAGATTTAAGAGAAGTTATGGATGTTGTGTCTGGATTAAGCTCTGATAGATTGGGAATTTTAGAACAAGCATTGCCACTAGCTGAACACTTCCACGATACACACAATGTACTTATATCTTGGTTGAATGATATGGAAGAACAGGTTTCTATGTTAACAATGCCTGCTTTAAGACCAGATCTAATAGCTCAACAACAAGATCGTAACGAAATGTTCTTACAATCCATAAACGAACACAAACCACTCATCGATAAACTAAACAAAACCGGAGAAGCTCTTATTAGCTTGTGTAACGAAGATGATGGTAGTAAAGTACAGGAGTTGCTTGATTCTGATAATGCTAGATACGGCGCTCTTAAACTAGAACTCAGAGAACGCCAACAAGCTTTGGAACAAGCTTTACAGGAAAGCTCCAAATTTTCTGATAAACTTGAAGGAATGCTCCGCGCTCTGTCTAACACAGCAGATCAAGTCAATCATTTAGAACCTATATCTGCACATGTGCCTAAAATTAAAGACCAAATTGAGGACAACGATAATTTAGTTGCCGATTTAGATAAAAGGAAAGAAGCTTATGCAGCTGTCAAACGCGCTGCTGATGACGTTATCAGTAAGGCAGGAAATAGGGCTGACCCAGCCATTAGGGAGATAAAGGCCAAGCTAGAGAGATTAAAGAGTTTGTGGGATGATGTACAAAAAGCGACACAAACTAGAGGGAAATCACTCGACCATGCTTTGGAGGCAGCTAAGAAGTTCTGGAAAGAATTACATGCCATTATGGCAACACTTAAAGACCTTGAAGATTCTCTAGTATGCCAAGAACCTCCTGCCGTTGAACCTAAGGCTATTCAAGAGCAACAGGTTGCGTTACAAGAGATCAGACAGGAGATCGATCAGACCAAACCCAACGTTGACAGAGTAAGAAGTTCTGGGGAGAAATTGATGAAATTGTGTGGTGAACCTGATAAACCGGATGTAAAGAAACATATTGAAGACTTGGATCATGCTTGGGATAATATCACTGCTCTGTATGCCAAACGTGAAGAAAACCTTATTGATGCCATGGAAAAAGCTATGGAATTCCATGAAACATTACAGGTAATACAATAATACATATTTATTCAATAAGTTTCATGTATATTTTCTTGTATCGTTATCTTTGTATTCTGTTATGTGCTAGTCGTTTGTGTCTTAGACTTGCAATTTTCTGTACTTTTAGTTTTTTTCTTGTCCATGAATTTTTTGGCAAATATGCTGCATCGTTAGTTATGGTATGTAAGTTTACTAGTATTTGTGTTAGATTGCCTTATGTTTCTAGCAAGATTGTAATTTCTTCTGGTAGCTGAAAGGCTATGACAGTCAAGAAGTACGTGTTTACCGATGAGATGCAGTACGAAAGCGCAGTGCTAGCTGAAGTTTATTTACAAATTGCTCGACTTGGTGTTACGTCTTTTCCAGAGGTCATTCGAAGGCTATTTTTTGTTTGAATTGTTCTCTTTAGATCTAGTTATGGTTGAATTTCTGTTTGGTGTTCAGAGAGCAGGCTTGTTTTGCTGATATATCGTTTTATCCTTCCTGGAACTGGAATGCCATGGATTGTTATTTAGGCTGGAATGTGCGATGGACCCATAAAATTGTTAACATAATATCACTAGTCTGAAGGCGATTGTATACACTCTGAATTGTCTGGACTATTGCATAGATAGAATATTTATTTTTGACTGAGTGAATTGATCACAGATAGTCAAAACTTGCAATATTCTTTATAATTCAGCAGTACAATTTGCACATCCACTTGCACAATTTGACTTTGACTCTTGCGTGTTCATGTCACATTTCTAAATTGGTCGACAGAAAGAAAATACTCAAAATTAGTTTAATGGTAACGTATGCGACTGGTTTGAAGCACTACAATTTTCTGCCATCATCAGGTCCGCGAAAAGGTTTCCTAACCGCTAAATGAGAAATTTCAGTTGTTACATCTTAAGTCATTAAGTACATTTAGGTTTGAAGCACTACAATTTTCTGCTATCATCAGGTCCCCGATAAGGTTTCTTAACCGCTAAATAAGAAATTTCAGTTGTTACATCTTAAGTCATTAAGCACATTTAGGTTTTATGAATATATTGCAAGTATACTTACATAAAGGTACAAGAAATGTGGTCAATGGTAGGCATACTACTTGCTTAATTAAGCCAAGAGAGTGTTTATGGGAAATATGCTTTTTGGCACATCGATGTCTGGAAATATTCTTAAGGAGATGCTGATGATTTTAAGTAAAAACTTTTTGTTGTCTGATATGAATGTTGTGTTGTTTTTATATATACGTGTATTCGCTCCGTGCGTGACCATGGTAGGGATACATTGAAACGATGCCAGCGTGCGTAGCGGCGAAATATGACAAAATTGGAATATTGGACAAAATATTTTTACACATAAATTTTATCAAAAATGTGTGCAAATACATGTTGCGTATTTAATTGTGCTAATAATAGTAATAACAGTGAGTGTAGTTTTTATAGGTTCCCAAAGATTACTTATAAATTAAAGATAAGAAAAAGATGAATTCGTGCTATTAATATGAAAAAGTAAATATCACATAATTTCATTTTTATGGAATTGAAATAGGAAAAATTTAAATAATTTACCTTGAATGATATTTCATAAGGCTTTAAGCTAACTGCAGATGACTTTAGCTTTTATATCGTAACTTTTACTATTATTGTTTTTAATTATATGCTCTTTTGCGTGAAAAACTTGATTTGCCAGTACTAAATTTTTCCCTTTCTTTTCCGTTTGGAGTTGAAAAGATATATTATGATGAATTTTGAGAAACCCAGTTTTTAATACTACATTTATTTTGTACATAAACTGAAAAAATATAGTTAAAAACTAATTTATTAATAATTGTCAATTTCGCATGTATTTAACAATGTCAAACATATGTCATATGTTTAACCTGAAAATTGGGACTCCAAAATTGTCAGATGAAGTCGGTAGGTGTCGTGTCAGTCACGCACGGAGCGAATAGATTTATTTATTTTATAGTTACACATTTATTTATTTATGTTGTCTTATCTTCTTATATGTTTTATCGCAATTAATACTTATGACACTTTTTTTAGAACCTTCTTGCATTCTTAACCCAAGCTGAAGGCAAATTCGAAAAACTAGGTCCACTCGGAACAGATATTGATGCCGTCAAAAAACAAATCGATCAATTAAAGAAATTCAAAGCTGAGGTTGATCCTCATATGGTCAAAGTTGAAGCTTTAAACAGGTAAAGATTATGCTTTAGTTATATTTTGATGTATTTTCTACCGGTGGGTCTTATACTCTATTTTCTTAACCTGTGCATTACCATAATGATTTAAGACATAATAGCAGAATTAAGAGCGTTAAAAACAATGCTGAAAAACTCAAACTGAAATCCAATTATAGTTTGAGGGAAAAATAAGATGTGACAAGGAATACAATTTCAAGATATACAATATTATTTTTACAAAATCTCTAAATGATGAGGACCAATATGGTTTGTTGATAATAAAATGAGGAAATGATGCATTTAAAAATGCGTAATCCATTGCACAAATATTTTATTCACAACACCTACACAGATAATTATTTTTGTAACCATAATTGTCAATAAGACTTATTTTAAATTAAAATATAATATGCATAAGATAAGGTGGAGGAACTAAGAAATGGTCAACGACATCAGGATGTAGAATGCCAAAAGAAACCAATACATTAAAGATCCTTGTGGATATCTCTAGTACAGCTTCCCATGACAGAATTATCATGGACTTCGAAATCCAAGATCCGACAGGGGAAGAAGATCACAACCAGACCACAGGGCCTCTCAGGTCGTAAACCCACGAAAACCCCGTGTCGTGGAAGTCCACAAGATAGCTACGTGGAACGTCACATCTATGTTTGAAGGCGCGAAGTTACACAATATTCAGCTGGAAATGGCCAGACTAGACATTCCTATCCTAGGTCTCTGCGAGACGAAATGGCTGGGGTCAAACATATTCGAGAGCAATGGATACATTGTCTACCACTCGGAAAAGGAAGAAGGACTCAGACGTAACGGAGTCATTATTGTCAAAGAAGAAATTCATAGCTGTATTAGAAATTTCGTTCCTTTCAATGATCGCATCATGATGATACAGCTGCAAAATAAATTAATGCATATTAATATAATAAAAGTCTATGCACCAACAGCTGACAAACTAGATGAAGAAATTGAGCAATTCTACAACCAAATTAAAGAAATTCTTCGAAGCACAAAAAAACATGAAGCTATGATTATTATGGGAGACTTCAACGCAAAAGTTGGTGCTGAAATAACACAAGATATAACCGGAAAGTATGGACTTGGAGAAAGGAACAAAAGAGAACAGAGACTAATACAGTTCTGCCAAGAAGAGAATTGCAGTGTCGCAAATACTTTGTTTCAACAGCCTAAAAGACGACTATATACCTGGAAATCTCCAGCTGATCAAGGAGGAAAAGTAGTCAGAAATCGAATCGACTACATTATTATTAAAGAAGGTTTAGAAAAAGTATTACATCTACAAAAACATTCCCAATTGCAGACGCAGCAACTAATCATAAGCTGCTCTGTGCTGGATTCAAACTAAGATTTAAAATAATAAAAACCCTGATAGCTCAGAAAAAAACATAATAATCGACTCCTAAGAAATGCCGTAATAGCAGATGAATTCAGAAATAAGATAAATGAAATTGAAAAACAGCTAGAAAGATCTTAACAAGAAAATATCGGACAAAATATAGATATAATGAATTCCGCCATGGTTACCATAGCAAACGAAGTTTTGAAATCAGAAAAAGAGCCAGTAAATAAAAAGTATGAGATGACCGATAACATACTAGACCTTATTCAGCAAAGAAGAAATTGTAAAATTAAAGATGAGACTCGATATAGAGAAATATATCGACAAATAAGATACGAAGTTATAAGCGAGCAAAAGAGGCCTGGATGGAACAGAGATGTCGTGAGATGGAATAACTACAAAGAACACATGACAAGTTTAATATACACAAAAAACTTAAAGAAATTACCTACACTCAGAGAAAAAGAACTCCTCACTTTATGAGAAACTTCAAAGGTAAAATTATTCTCGACTTAAACAAAAAAAAGAAAGAATGGACCAACTACATAACGGAGCTCTTCCTGGATACGAGGCCATCACTTAACACCACGAAGTATACGAATACTGGTCCTAGTATTTTAAAAGCAGAAGTAGAGAAAGCCATCAAACAAAGCAAAAATGGGAAATCTCCAGGCCCTGACCAAATACCATCAGACTGGCTCAAACTTCTAGACGACGACAATGTCTCAGAACTAACAAACATTTATAACCACATATACGAAACTGGAACACTGCCACAAATATGGTTGGAGTCTACATTTATCCCACTTTGAAAAAAACCTAATACATCATCATGTAGAGACTTTAGACTAATTTAGTCTCATGGGCCACTATCTCAAGCTACTTCTTAGGATCATTCTTAATAGAATTAAGCAGAAATCTGAAGAAACAATGGGAAATAAATAATTCGGTTTCAGAAAAGGATTGGGAAAAAGGGAAACTTTGTTCTCAATGGAAACGATCTACTCCACTACTTCAACAATCATGGGAAGTGCAGAAACCAATTTACGTTTGTTTTATAGATTTTGAGAAGGCGCTTGTAAGGGTTTAACATATAATGCTCAGAATATCATGGGTTCCATAGATTTCAAACAGAGAAGTCTTGAATAGAGTAGGTCAAGGTGAAGGTGACTTAATAAAGATGATAAAAAGGAGAAAACTTGAATATCTGGTGCATTTAATGAGAGGAAGCAGAGACAGGATAATGCAGTTGATACTCAACGGAAAGATCGAGGGAAAAAGAGGAATTGGTAGAAAGAAATACTTATGGCTCCGAAACCTTCGTCAATGGACTGGTTTATCAGCAGTCGAAGGCTTATCACCACGAAGCTACGCACATCTAAAACTTGGGCACTGTATTCAATGAAGAATATACGAGATTTAAGACTAACGATATGTGCAGACATCGCTGACAGCTGACAGATTTATGCGGTATATGATTATTAACCGCTAGCTTAGTCGGTTAGTCGCATTACATGAAATATGATATTTATTAATTTGGGATTGAATTGTAAATTAGATAAGAGATTAACAAATCATTGAGGGACAATATGATTCAACAATCTTCGCAAAATAATATGGTTACTAAAATAAAATCATTATGGATCGTGCATAATTTGTATATATGTTACTCTATATTTGTATTAATTCTATTTTATTTTCTATTTTTCTGTACCCTTGGACTTCAGGAGTCTCGTAAGGCAAGAATATTTCAAATTCTATGCTATGCAGTTGTGATAACGCAAACGTTTTTGTATGCTTTATTTGTTTGTGCTTCAATATCTTTCATTTTTTATATAACAAATAGTATAGCTGATCAACATTAAAGTTATCGTACAGTATGGTATACTTCATTCGCTGTTAAATACATGAAATTTATTTAATCGTAACAATTGTTACTATATAATCAAGATTTCATTTTGTAAGGTTGGTAAATTGCAAAAAAATGCAAAAAATTGCAAAGTTAGTAAAAAAGCAAAAGAATGACAGTTTTAACATACACCGAAATATCAAAGAGACAGCTGGCATATACAAGAAGAAGAGTATCGGAAATACCATGGATAAAAATAACAAAATAATAACGGAATGTTCAGATAAAATAAACAGATGGGATGAATAAATAAAAGAGTTACTCGAAGACGACGAGAATATTGAGGTCATTGAACCAAGAGGAAGAAATGTGCCACCAATCACCAAAGACGAAATTGAGAAAGCGCTTAAACGTATAAAAAATGAGAAGGCCATGGGACTAGATGAAATACCTACAGAAATCTTAAGAATATTAACAAAAAATCATATGGGCACACTAATAGAATTATTTAATGGCATTTATTATACCGGAGAGGTTCCGAAAGAATGGTTGATGAAATGTGAAGAGCACAGGACAATTAGTTTGATGAACCATATTCTAAAAGTGTTCTTACGAGTGATACACAAACGTAACTATAAAAAGCTAGATGATAGAATAGCTGAAAACTAATTGGGATTCAGAAAAGGCTTTGGCACCAGAGAAGCATTATTTACTGTACAAATACTAATCGAACGTTGTCGAGATGTCAATTGCGACGTGTTCATAGGTCTAGTCGACTTCGAAAAAGCTTTCGATAAAGTACAACACCGAAGAATGGCAAAAATTCTGCAGAACACAATTAGATAACAAAGACGTGAGAATCATTGCCAATCTATATCGATATCAGAAAGCCATAATACGAATAGACCAACAAAAATCGAAAGAAATACCTATAAATCGTGGAGTTAGACAAGGATGTCTGCTTTCCCCTTTACTTTTTAATATGTATTCAGAAGAAAGATATTACCCAACACTGCGAAAGATATGGAATGGCACCGAATACAAATAAAACAAAAATAATGGTGATAAGCAAGAACAAGATTGAAGAAGACAGTGTTTATGCTAAAGGAAAACTTTTAGACAGAGTGCACAGATATCAGTACTTAGGTTGTGAACTAAATGATGAATGGGATATAAGTACGGCAATAAAACGGTGTATTAAGATAGCTATAAGTGCTTTTAATAAGATGAAAGCAATATTAAGCAATGGAAACCTCAACATTTAAATTAGAACTAGAGTATTAAGATGCTACGTGCTTTCTGTCCTGTTGTATGTAGTTGAGGCCTGGACAATTACAGAGGCAACAGAGAAAAGACTCTTTAACTTTGAAATGTAGTGTTATTGAAGAATGTGGAAAATATCTTGGACACAACACATAACAAATGCCGAAACGCTAAGAAGAATAAAAAAAGATAAAGAAATACTCAACACTTTAAAGAAAAGAAAACTGAGCTACTTTGGGCACATACTAAGAAACGAGAAATACGAATTCATGCGGCTGGTCATACAAGGGAAGGTGGAAGGCAAAAGAGGACCGGGTAGAAAACGCACATCCTGGTTGAAGAATCTAAGACAATGGAGTGCGAAAACGTGCGAAAAATATGTTTATTGAATTAAAATTTAAGTCAAAAAGATAGGAACTATTTAGATTTTTATGATATACAGGGTAAAAAGAAAATGCTACAGTATTTTAGTGACCTAACCATTCAAAACGGCGGATGGTCGCTATTTTGTAAAATTGTTTCAAATGGGATATTGTATATGACAATTAATAGCTCATTTCAAAGTTCTTATCTAACTCAGTATGTTCCAAAATTTTAGTGAGTTTCTCTCAGGCCGTTTTAAAATGGATACCACTGAATTGTGAGAATTATTTCTCAATAAAAGAATAACTCTTCCTTGTTTCTAGCAGCATACTGAGCGACATGGTCGGTTTAAAATTATGTGTCATATATGTTTAATACTTTTGTATTGTTTTAATAAAAAAAGTTAAACAAACGCTAGGAAAGCTCTTCCAATCATGAATTTAAAACAGCGAATGATGTATATAACATTTGTTTCAACCAGCTCTACATTTATTATAATATTAAATCGAAATTTTACAAAATTTTAATTAATGTTAGCAAGTATTTAAAAAAAAATTAAGGAAATCCAGTTGATTATTTTTTTTTGTTGGTTGTAAAAATAAGCTTTCTCTTTGAACATTTTTCAGGCTTATATTTGGCAAGCATAGATTATATTCTGTTTTCCGTTGAATAAAGTTTCCCACATTTTGTTATTTTCATTAGTTTTCCTTATTTAAAAGTTTTTTTTTCTGTTTCCGCTTAAAGTTTTCAGTGCAACTAAACTCTTAATATCTTTATTATCTACTCTGATTTTATCAGTCTGACAGTGATTTCTTTATGTTTTAATATTTTCGTTCTACTAACAGTTTCCCAATCGATTTTAAATGACTTTTGATTTCGTCTTCTGCTCAACACTTTAATTATTTTATCTATCTATATATTTTTATTTTTATTAAATTTCACCTCTTTTATGTTAATTATTTACTCAACACCTATTAACCAGATAAATAATCACTGTTGTGTGGATTGTATTAAAAAAATGTCCATTTTCTTCTCTGGTGATAGTGTGAACCAACTTTTGTAGGTAACCTTTCAAAATAAGTCGAAACTTTCATCTGACCATTACCAATTTAGCGAAATAACTGGATTTCACTTTTATGGTGTTATGATATCATTAGTATCAAAATTTGATAATTATGTAATTTTTTCTTAAAATTATTTATAGGATATATACTTGCAATAAGTTTGGTATAATCGATTTTCGAAAAGTAATGCATGATTTTTTATTTTTGTTTGAATCGAGAGATGAAAATGCATGTTTTTTCATCTAATGTTCCATGAACTTCAGGAAGCTTTGCGGGCTTATTACTGCTGTTTCATTCCGTAAATGACTAATAGTTTCATACGATGTTCTGTATAATTTTGCCATACCGGAGAAAATCGACAGTTCTTTGGTATAAATAAGAAGCATGCTTTTAAAGTAAGTGTTTTTTAGTTTTGAAATTCAACCGCTGCAGCATCGCGGTGAGATTTGTATTTATGATAAGAACATACGTTTTTAAATAAAAACTAGAAAGCAGCTTCTGCCTACAATCACAATCCAGGGATCAGAATTAATGTCAGAAGTAACTTCATACGAAATCAAAACTACAATTTTAGAAATGAAAAATAACAGATCCCTGGCGATGACGGATTAGTAATTGAAGCGATCAAACTAGGTGGAAATAAAATTATCCAGTCTTTGGCCAAGCTTTTCACCCAATGCATCCACCAAGGAAAACTCCTTCTCAATGAAACAATGCAGTCATTATTTTATTACACAAGTAAGGAGACATAACAGATCTACAAAACTACCGTACTATTAGTTTGCTTTCAAACATATATAAACTTTTTACAAAAATTATCAAAAAAGACTGGACGCTAAATTAGACTTCTACCAGCCTAGAGAACAAGCTAGATTTAGATCGGGATACAGCACTAACGACAACTTACTATAATAGTGATAAAGTCTGCAGAATACAACAAACCATTGGAACTAATATTTGTCGACTACGAGAAAGCTTTCAATATCATAAGCCATCAGAAAGTGTTAAAAGCATTGACAGAATGCTGAATAGACCATCGTTACACTAACATAAAACATATCTACCAAAACGCCAGAGCTAGCGTAAAACTATCTGAACAAGACACAAATAAATTCTGTATACAGTATACATAATTACAAAGATTAACCTCTTTTAGTATACATAATGTTTTAAAAATTATATCACGCTTCCTTGGAGGTCGGACTAAAGATTAATATGAACAAGACGCAAATAATGACTAATCTAATGCTAAATCGAAATATTGCTGTTAATGGAAGGGATATTGTGCAGACTACATCGTATGTATATGGCCCTAAGTACTTAGGGCATGAAATTTGGTTAGCATAGTGAGAAATGAAAATAAATACAGACTCCTACTATTGATATTAGAAGGGAAAATAGAAGGAAATAGAGGACCAGGATGCCGCCGAATATTCTGGCTTAAGAATTTGAGACAATGGACAGATATGACCACCACAGACATATTTCGAACAGCTGCTAATAAAATACGATAGGCCATTGTGGTAGCCAACATCCATAGAATATAGGCACTGGCAGAAGAAGAGATAACCAGACATGTGAGCTCCCACGTCGCATAAGATTAGCCGGGGCAGCATTTGGTTAATTAAATTAAATATTTAAATCGGATGTACCCGTCTGCCTCAAAAGGAAAATCTTTGACCAATGTGTGTGTGTGTTACCTGTACTCATATCATCAGATGCGACGTAAGGGCTTGAAAAATCACTGCCACGGTGCCTTACAGAGGGACTTACAGTCTCAGAAAAACGTGGAGTGGAGCAGTGCCCAGACATCGGACTCCCAGGTTACAGAGACCCTATTTGGGAGCCGAGACCAGACTGAGGCCGAGGGCAGAAAATGTTCCATGAGTGTATTAATATTTATATGGCATTTTCAGATCTCTCGACCAATAATAAAATTGGAAGCAGTTTTAAGGCGGGGCGATGCGCATCAGGTTGCGTCCACGACTTATGCACCAGAATGACACTCACTTATCACTTATTCACACTCACAAAGAAGGTAGTGAATAAGAAATAGGTCGTAGAACAAAAACAAAAGACGTCATCGAAAAAATCGCGTTGCTAAAATGGAATTGGTCAGGACAAGTCGTCAGATTATCAGACAACCGATGGACAAAACGTATTTTAGAGTGGATACCAAGACAAGAAACAGTACGTAGCAGAGGATGCCCACCAACTAGATTGACTGACGATCTGAAGCGTGTTAGCAATAACTGGATGCAATCCGCACAAGACAAAGACATGTGGAAAGAGCTTAGGGAGACTTATGTCCAGTAGTGGACGCATACAGGTTGATGAAGATGATGATGATGATGATGAGAGCGTAAACGGAAACGTTCTACTCTATAGGAAGTTACTCAAAATTGAATTGGTAGACCATATTACAAATAAAGAGGTCCTGTGAAGAACTAATATCCAAAGATAAACATTAAATGATTATTCTAAGAATTAATTAATTAATTAAACTATATTATATCTAATATAATTTAGATACATAAGAACCTGGTGATACATACCTGATGTCAACAGCGCAAGAAAGATCCTCACACATTCTTCAACACGCATAAAATCACCTAATAAAAGAATAACTTAATTTAAAAGCATGTGTCTTACTTTAAAACACATTTTAAAATTGCTGGTAACTATTGGTCCTTGATATTTTAAATATTTTTGTTTTTATTTTGCTTTGTACTGTTTATGCTTTTCGACAGCTTTTATGTACAACTTTTATGTATCTTATATCAAAGTTTTAAATTTGTTTCTATAGGCAAGCTCAAGAACTCACAGAACGTACATCATCAGATCAAGCAGCCTCGATCAAAGAACCACTTTCAGCCGTCAACAGAAGGTGGGATGATCTTCTTAGAGGAATCGTTGAAAGGCAAAGGCAGCTTGAAAATGCCTTGTTGCGTTTGGGTCAATTCCAACACGCTCTTAACGAACTTCTCGTGTGGATATCCAAGACTGATGCTACATTAGATGAGTTAAAACCCGTTGCGGGAGATCCACTAGTACTGGAAATCGAATTGGCTAAGTTGAAGGTTTTGGTTAATGACATACAAGCGCATCAAACTAGTGTCGATACTCTTAATGATGCCGGTAGACAAATAATTGAAAGTGGTGAATGTAAGTACTAATTGTGACATGAATATATTTTTATTTATAACCTATATTATTTGTAGCTGATGAAGCAAGTGTTACCCAAGAAAAACTCAATACATTGAATACTCAGTGGCGTTCCCTAATGCAGAAAGCAGCCGATAGGCAAAGGGAGCTTGAAGATGCGCTTACAGATGCCCAGAGATTTAATGCAGAGATTCAAGATCTTCTGTCTTGGTTAGGAGATGTCGACGGAATCATCACCGCCAGTAAACCAGTTGGAGGGTTACCTGAAACTGCATCAGAGCAACTGGAAAGGTTCATGGAAATATATAACGAAATAGAGGATAACAGACCTAAAGTTGAGACAGTGTTAGCGCAAGGTCAAGAATATTTGAAGAAAGCTACTTCACCTGCTTCTAACTTACAACAGAATTTGCGTACATTAAAGCAACGATGGGATAGTGTCACTGCCAGAGCTAACGATAAGAAGATTAAATTAGAAATTGCTCTTAAAGAAGCTACAGAGTTCCACGAATCACTACAAGCATTCGTTGATTGGCTAACTAATGCGGAGAAACACCTTCAAAATGTGAAGCCCGTCTCTAGGGTTTTGGAAACTATTCAGAATCAAATAGAAGAACACAAAGTTTTCCAAAAAGATGTTAGTGCTCATAGAGAAATAATGCTTGCTTTAGATAAAAAGGGAACACATCTCAAGTATTTCAGTCAAAAACAAGATGTTATACTAATTAAAAATTTACTTATCAGCGTACAGCACAGATGGGAAAGAGTAGCTTCCAAATCAACTGAAAGAACCAGAGCACTTGACTTGGGTTACAAAGAAGCCAAAGAGTTCCACGACTCTTGGACTTCCCTCATGCATTGGTTAGATGAAACTGAAGAATCTCTAGATGAACTTCAGTCTGAAGCCATCAGCAACGATCCCAGTAAGATTAAGCAACGTCTAGCTAAACATCAAGAACTGCAAAAAGCTCTATCTGGCAAACAGGGCACGTATGATAATGTAATGAAGACTGGTAAGCAGCTTAAAGACAAAGCTCCCAAACCTGACGAACCTACTCTTAAACATATGCTCTCAGAACTGAAGAGCAAATGGAATTCAGTTTGTCATAAGAGTGTTGACAGGCAACGCAAACTTGAAGAAGCTCTCTTATATTCAGGGCAGTTCAAAGACGCCATAGCAGCGTTAGTCCAATGGCTACAAAAAGCTGAAAAAGACCTTTCAAAAGACAGTCCTGTTCATGGTGATCTGGATACAGTTAACCATTTAGTAGATGCGCACAAAGTTTTTGAAAAAGAATTAGAAAAACGTAACGACCAAATGGAATCAGTAATTAAAAATGGTCAAGAGTTAGAAAGAACTGCGTCCAAAACTGATGCTATCCAGATTAGAGCCCAATTAAATGAACTGACTGAACTTTGGGAAACGGTAACGGACTTAACAAGAATCAGAGCAGATAAATTAAGAGACGCGCTGAAAGAAGCCGAAAAACTTCATAGATCCGTTAACATGATCCTCGACTGGTTGTCCGAAGCTGAAATGAAATTGAGATTTGTTGGTAACCAACCCGAAGATGAAGCAACTGCCTACGAACAAGTTAAAGCTTTGGATCAATTCAGAGCTCAACTAAATGAAAAAGAAATCGAAAAAGATCAAACTCTTGAATTAGCCCACAGCATTCTTGCAAAGGCCCATTCAGATTCCATCAACGTTATCAAAAATTGGATTAAAGTTATTCAAACCAGATGGGACGAGGTGTCACAGTGGGCCCTTCAGCGTCACCAGAAACTGTCACAGCACTTACAGTCGCTCAGAGATATGGACGATACTTTGGAAGAACTTATCCAATGGCTCATGGGACTTGAAAACACTCTTATTGCTCTAAAGCGCGAAGAATTGCCTATGGACATTCCAGCCACAGAACAACTTATTGCGGACCACAAAGAATTTATGGAGAATACGCAAAAGAGGCAAGCAGAAGTCGATAGGGTTTGTAAAGCCAAACAGGTTAAGCCTGTAGCTGGCGTTAAAGATCCTAAGAAATTCGTCAAAGGCAAAGGACAGATGTAAGTTTATTTCTGTGTTTAATACTGATTTGATATCAAAATTTCATTGATACAACTTAATTTTGAAAAGTTGTTAGATAGAGTTTTAGAATTTTTTGATTGCATGTTGTTTCTTTTTAGTTAGACAATTTGTTTATTTTTATATTTATTTCAGATATTTAAAGTAGTAAAATGAATTATACTGTAAAAGTATCTAAAATCTTAGCATGAATTTGTTAGTTTGATAGCACAGAAAGCACTATATTTTGCTTTAAAACAAAACATAAAGTCATGAAAACAATATACACTTACACAGTACACCTAACCTTTTATAAGATTCATAACATTTCTTATTAAATGATTAACCGATATCAATCATACATTTAATTATGAAAATTTAATATAGGAAAAAGGCAGGCTTATTAAACGAGCTTCCTTTTTAAAGAGAGACTAGTTACGCTACGCAGCGACATCTATTGTTGATAACAGAAAGTAAACCACAAAATGTGTGTCTTTATCTTCCAAAACTAAACTGTATAATTCGTTTTATAGAATTTTTTATTTATACTCCGTAACTCGTTTTATTTCTGGAAGACAGATATTTTGGAAATACAAATGTCATATTATTTAACATCACAGTATCAAATATTCTAGCTAAATAAATTTAAAATCAAGAGAGTGTAGCAAATGTTATGAATCTAAATTTATTAAATTGATGCTTTCATTTATTTGTTTTGTGTTGCATGATTTTCATTCTTACACGTTTTTGTTTTTTTCTTTGTGTGTTTTCTTCATCCTGTCATCTGTCATCCTGTCAAATCAGTCGTGGTTCTCAGCTTGACATTCATGATTCCACGCAAGACATCTACGGCGCACTTGGTCGCAAGCAAAGGTATGTTTCGCATTTTCTTTCTCTTTATAATGCTTAAAAATCATTTACACCTTTTTATTTTATTCGCAATGTTTTAACAAAAAGAATCATAATAAATATATAGAATAGACATTTTAAATGCAGTAAAAAAGGTTAATAAATGATATACATAGACACGATAATAATTTGAAAATAATTTACTTACATTAATGATTAGACGAATTACAAAATATGATGGATGAATTAAATAGCGAATCAACAAAAATAGGTCTACGAATGAATTATAAAAAAAGAAAATTATGACCAACCAACCAGAAGAATCAATAATTTACAATTGTTCAAACAACTATAGAACAAGTAAAAGAATATGTATATTTGGGTCAACTAATTAAATTAAATAAAGAAAATCAGACCGGAGAAATAAAGAGAAGGATACGGTTGGCTTGGGTATCCTTCGGAAAACTTTCCTATGTACTAAAAAATAGAAAATACCCCCAATATTTAAAAAGGAAGAGTCTTCAACCAATGTATACTTCCTGTTCTCACCGGTTCCTGTACGGTTCCTGTACGGTTCTCAAAATTGGACGTTTACAAATGAAAACATGGAAAAAATAGCAAAGACCCAAAGAGCCATGGAAAGGCAAATGCTGAACATTTGCCTTTTGAAACAAAAGTGACCGATGTATCAACGCAGATAGCAAAACTTAAGTGGAAGTTCGCTGGACATACCATAAGACAGAAAGACGACAGATGGAATAAGCTGATTATACACTGGAGACCATATAGTTACAAACGAAAAAGAGGAAGGCCACAAATGAGATGGTCAGATGACTTGAAGAAACACGCAGGCCTGAAGTGGATACAAACTGCCTACAATAGGAGACGTGGAAGAAGTAATAGGAAGCCTATGTCCAAAATTGGACAGCAAGAACTGTATAGATAGATAGATAATGATAAGAAGTCATTGATATAATAAATTTTACAGATTCCAATAGTTTGAAGTTTGAAGTTTGAGACCCAGTGTCGACGAAAGAGATGGAAGCTCTAGAACTACACATCGTTGCAACATTAGTTTTCTTTGTGGAAAATAGAAGAGAATAGTCTTTAACCTTCCAATTGTTAAATCAAATTATTTAACATGGCCTACTGCCCCTGCCGTAAGACAGGGTGATACAATATCACCGAAACTTTTCAATCAGGCTCTTGAAAATACTTTTAAATTTTTAAATAATTTGTGGACAACGCTTGAACCATCTAAGGTACGCTGATGATATCGTATTGATAACTGATAAAAAAAAGAATTATTTGAAATGATGAAAGAACTGGACGTAGAAGCTGGAAAGATAGGCCTTAATATGAATTACAGCAAGACCAAAACCATAACAAATACAGATGAAGACATCACAATGATAATCGGACAAGATGAAATAGAACAAGTTCAAGATTATATATACCTTGGTCAAACTATAAAACTTAACAAAGAGGACCAAACAGCAGAGATAAAGAGATGAGTTAGACTGGCATGGGCGGCATTTGGCAAACTAAGCTACATTCTTAAAAACAAAAGATATCCACAGCATCTTAAGACCAAAGTATACAATCGATGCGTACTCCCTGTTCTTACTTATGGTTCCCAAACGTGGACATTTACAAAATCAAACATGGACAAAATCATAAAAACCCAAAGAGCAATGGAAAGACAAATGTGGCACATAAGACTAATGGATAAAAAGAGAAACGAGTGGATAAGAGAGAAAACAAAAGTGAGGGATGTTAGACAAGAAGTTGCAAAATTGAAATGGAGATTTGCCGGACACAATATAAGACAAAAAGAAGACCGATGGAACAAAATTCTTATAAGTTGGAGACCGTGGGAATATAAACGAAGCAGAGGAAGGCTCAAAATGAGATGGGCAGATGATATCAAGAAGCACGTGGGCTCTAGGTGGATGACTGTAGCGACAGACAGAGAAGAATGGAAAAGGATTGGGGAGGCCTATGTCCAAAGATGGACCGAAGAAAACTAATTAGATATATTAGACTGCCATATTTATGTTAATTTAAGAGGTATTCATTCAGTAATATGCATTGCAGCTCTAAAGCTGTGGAGTTGAAATCCATGATAAGCCAAGTAAATGAAATATCATGAGAGGTAAGGCTGGAAATGAATGTAAACATAACAAAAATATTAAATAATATTCTGAATAATATGATCATACACTTTATCAAGGTGAATAAGAAAAACCGATTCAATTTACATAAGTTGCCTCTGGTAAACTAAACTTCATATTTAAAGCGTATCAGCCTTAAAATAAAAGTATGATAGCTACCTATTACCACTGACTACTTATGATTTACAAATTATGAACAAAAGAAGATAGCAAGACAACTACGATTAACTCGAAGATCAATGGGACGTTAAAAATAATCTTAATATGCAGAATAAGGTATTCAGACATTGCAAACAGAAAAAAATTCTGTTCTTACCTCGAACACATAGCCGGGAAAAACGTGGTCAGATGGATGATAAAATAAAGACCTTGTGTGGCGGAAAGAAATGTCGGAAGACCACCACTACATGGGTGCATGGTATTCAGAAATTAGTTGGGAAAAACTAATCCAAAGTCACATAAGACACAATAGCATGAAAAACCTCCGAAGGCACTATATTCAGCAGTGGATTGGCGATAGCTGAAGTTAAATCGATATTTGGTTAATATACACCAGAGAAATCACCAGGTATTTGGTTAATATACACAAGAGAAACAGAATATCACAAGAGACTTCTATTATTGTGAAGATAAATAATATCTTGGTAACTTTATAAAACCAAAATAAATTAAGTAATGAATACACATTTTCTTAGCTATTATACGCTTTTTTGTAACTCTAGATCAATATATATTTTAAACTTACTAGTTTTTCTTAGCTTTTGTCTGCTTGTGCGTTTTGTTTCATTTGCATTTTTCGTTTTTTTATAGCTTCAAAGGCTCGAGGAATGACCTACAAAGAGGAAGGTTAGCATTTTGTTGTATTTTTGGAATAATCTAATTTAAATTCTTATATAATTCTAAGAATGTAGCTATTAACAAACTAACAAAGAATTGAACATATATATTATACGTAAATTTTTATCTATGTGTTTATTTGCATTGTTATTTTAAAGAAACCAGTAGAATTTTAAATGTTTAGGTATATTTATAAACATAATAATACCCAATGCATTATATTTATTGTACATACATACTAAAGTAACTTTTTTGTAACACTTCTATATTGCACATCACAAAAAGAATTAAATTAGTTTAATAAAGGATTAGTACATTTTGCTTAAACTTCAATCTTCCCTGATAACAAGCATTTAATTTATCCTCCACCATAATGAGTCTTTGTTGGCTAAGACAAGTTAATGTTACCTTTAAGCCCACACTTGTGATCTTTGGAGAGTACCTAACACTTATATTTGGATTTTTAAACACATACTTGATTTTTTTCAGCATTAACAATTTTCTATCCCGTGTTTACTTCAGGCAAATAATTTATGATCTTTAGGAGACTTTCTCACTACATTAGTCGAGGGGTACAATGAGCTTTATCTTTAATTTTTAGGACATCTTTAATTTACCCCATTTCATTATTGGTACTGTTATGTCCGGGTAGTTCGTAGGAATCCCCTAATAGAACAATCTTGTAACTTCCTACGCCTCAATCTGTTGGAGGAGTTACAGCTCTGTTCTTTTTTATAATTATCTCACTGAAAGTACTTTCGGTAGTAGCAGTCCATGTGTCGTATTAGTTCTCATTCGAGAACTATGATGATAAATGTATATGTATGATGACCTTACTAATGTTAACAGGGCTTCCTTATTTTCCTTAGTTTTCTTCTTCGAACTCCAAGTAAACATTGCCGAAAACCTTAAATTTCTCGCGTTTTTTCTGAAAGAGTACGGAAATTGTCATATGTTGATTTCTGCCCCGTTTTGGGAACTTGTAATGCTTCCTTAGTCCGTTAGACATCCTTTTTGGAAGTGATTTTTTTAGTTATGATCCTTCTTAGTGCCTCATTGTTTTTTATTTTTGTTGATTTGGTTTACTTTGGTACCAATATATTAGACTGTTTGTCATAAACAGTACTCATTTAGAGGTCAAT